CTCACCATGCCGGCCGCCGGCCCCGCGCGCACCTGGGCGCTGCTCGCCCTCTGCCTCCTGGGCTGCGGGGCCCAGGACTTCGGGCCGACGCGCTTCATCTGCACCTCGGTGCCCGTGGACGCCGACATGTGCGCCGCGTCCGTGGCGGCCGGCGGCGCGGAGGAGCTCCGGAGCAACGTGCTGCAGCTCCGGGAGACAGTGCTGCAGCAGAAGGAGACCATCCTGAGCCAGAAGGAAACCATCCGCGAGCTGACCACGAAGCTGGGCCGCTGCGAGAGCCAGAGCACGCTGGACACCGGCGCCGGCGAGGCCCGGCCAGGCGGCGGCCGCAAGCAGGCCGGCTCCGGCAAGAACACCATGGGCGACCTGTCCCGGACGCCGGCCGCCGAGACGCTCAGCCAACTCGGGCAAACTTTGCAGTCGCTCAAAACCCGCCTGGAGAACCTCGAGGTCCGCACGCGCCCGCCACGGTTCCCTTCAGGCGTCCTCGGTCCTCAGCCCTCCCCACCCCCATCCCGATCCGGCTGGGCACCCCCCCCACCCCCGCCCCGGCCGCGCGCCATGCCCGGTCGGGCTGCCCCGAGCCCGTGGGGCCCCCCGCGGCGGCTGTGCGCGCCCGAGCACCCCGCCAGGCCGCCCCCGCAGTCGCCCGAGGGGACCGGTCCCGGCTGGGCGCGTAACGGTGCGCTCTCCGCCCTTGCCCGCAGCAGTACAGCCGGCTCAATTCCTCCAGCCAGACCAACAGCTTGAAGGATCTGCTGCAGAGCAAGATCGACGACCTGGAGCGGCAGGTGCTGTCTCGAGTGAACAGCCTGGAGGAGGGCAAGGGGGGCCCCAAGAACGACACGGAGGAGAGGGTCAAGATCGAGAGCGCCCTTACCTCGCTGCACCAGCGCATCAGCGAGCTGGAGAAAGGTAAGGGCCCGCGGGGCTCGCTGCTGCGCTCGGGGTGCTCGCGGGACCCGCCGGCGCCTGGCTGCGCGCACAGCCCCCTCCCCTGCTCGCTCCCTCCGGCAGCGGCTGTGCTCCCTGCGCGGGGGCTCTCGCCGGTTGCCTCTCCTCGCGCTCACGCACTGGCTCGATTTTTCAAGTCTGATTTGTTTAATCCTTGGTAACTTTGCACGGTAACTGGTGCCCGCCCGAAGCCCTCCCTGACTCAGCTCTAGCCGCCATCCCCTCATGGAGAGCCCAACATAGGCCAGTCCTCTGCATTCCCTCGATGGTTTCCCCTGGGATCTCCGTGCCCCCCAACTATGGCACCAGGGGTTTCTCTATGAGAGACCCAAGCCTGCGCATTTTGCGCGTCCCCGCAGCTCCCGGGTCGCGAACTCTGCGCGGGTCCGGTGCGCGGGCGGCTCAGGCGGCCGCGTCTTCCAGTCACACAAATCAGAAGGGTTGTAAAGGGGGAGGGGGTGCCTGGAGCGGAGAAGGGACACGTGACCCTGCCCGGCCCGCAAACTGTACCCGCTGGATTTCCACAGTGCCATCTGAAGGCGCGTTATGTAACTGAACAACAGAGCAGGGAAGAAGGGCCGAGGGAGGGAGGGAGATGCCGGGAAATGAAAACCCAGGGGCTAGGGCTGGGCAGGGGCTTGCGAGCTCCTGCGGAGGGGGCTCACGGAGAAGCCAGCAGGGGTGAGGCCGGCCCTGTCTCTGGTCTGCACCCCCTTCTCAGCGGTTTCCGGGGGCGATGCCAGGACGGGGGATGCAGTGTGCGCTGACCCAGCGGGACTCCTCCTAGAAATAATTTCTTGGCCGGGCAGCACGCGCTGTGTTCCCTGGCAGGGCGGCATGCGCACCCCAGGCTGGCGAAAGCTGTGCCTCGAGGCTGGGCGCCGCTCCCTAGTGCCTGCGTGCTCTCGCTGCACTGTTTTCCTGGAATTAGTCATTCGGTGCCCAGGACCACAGCCTGTGTGCTTGGGCTTGGGGGTACTGCGTGGGAAACACGTGCTAGCAGCTGCCCTCTCCGGAGGAGGGGGCTGTGAGGCCCAGGGTCTGGTCATCCGGGAGCTTTCAGGAAGCTAGCTTGTGGGACATGGAGCCTGAGATGTCCTTAACACACCAGACACAGCCCTAGTGTTCAGGGCCAGCCTCAGAGTCAAGTGAAAGGCCAGCTTGTCCTGCTGGACGCCGGGAACAACAGCCACTCACACCCACAGTCCAGCAGAGCCGCTGGGGGGCAGGAATCCCAGACAAGGGCCCAGGACAGAGGGTTCTGAGCACATGGTGTGGTAGAATCAGGTCGGGCCCGAAGGGGCTGCTCCGAGAGGAGCTGGCCTCCTTCTCCGTGACCACACCTTTATGTACTGAGGGCACCTCTGTTCCTCCCGATGAAGCCCATCTGCTCCCCTTCTCCCCCTCTCCTCCCCTGCCTGAGTGCAGATAGCCCCCAGCACTTAAATCTTAGCCTCCTAGGGGCTGGGCCTATGTCCTAGGGCCAAGGGTTTGACCTCCCGCAGCTGCCCTCTGTTCACCTCTCCGATGGAGGCCGGCCAGAGGCAGCCACGTTTGCATCGTCTGCACCACCAGCAAGCCTTAGATGCTGCTAAGGACCAGGGTCTGGTGTCAGGGCTGTGTCCTTCCCCCACTCCAGGTCAAAAGGACAACCGGCCTGGAGACAAGTTCCAGCTCACATTCCCGCTGCGGACAAATTACATGTACGCCAAGGTGAAGAAGAGCCTTCCCGAGATGTACGCCTTCACCGTGTGCATGTGGCTCAAGTCCAGTGCGGCGCCCGGCGTGGGCACCCCCTTCTCCTACGCAGTGCCTGGCCAGGCCAACGAGCTGGTGCTCATTGAGTGGGGCAACAACCCCATGGAGATCCTCATCAATGACAAGGTAGAGCCCTGTGGCCCCAGACCCCAGCTTGGGCCAGGAGCCGGGGAGGCCAAGAGGTGCATGGTGGGCTACTAGAACCTTCTCAGGAGGCTCCCTGTGGAGTGAGGCTGCAGTGGGGGAGGGTGGAGAAGACCCATCCCCCAGAAGCCTCTCTAACTCCTCCTCCACCAGAAGCCCTGGAGCTGGGAACCAAAGAGGCCACAGGGGGTGAAGGCTCTTAGAGAGTGTCCTTGTCCCAAGCCAGTCAGCTGGCCAGTTCCATGTGACCCTTGGGACAGCCAGACAGGGAAGCCCCCTCTCCCCAGCTCCTCTTCACCCTTGAGCTGGAGGTTAGATGCCAGCTCACCGATTGCCACCTCTGCTTGGCTGCTGGCCACGTCCCTTCCCAGGGTTCCCTCAGTCTTGAGGGCTCTGGCTGCCCCCCTCTGCCTAGGCTCTCAGCCCTGCAGTCCCCGGGGGCAGTGAGAGCCCAGGTCAGAAGCTGGCATCTCCCTCTCCCTCTGACGTTCCTCAGCTTCTCTGCAGAGGCTGTGCTGGTGGTTGACGCAGACAGTCTCTAGTAGCGGGGTGCTGGTAGAGAGAGGAGGGCCCCCGAGGAGACCCCAAGATGGCGGTGTAGGCTGTCCCTTTCCTTCAGAGAGGACCAATTGGCCGAGGAGCAAAGAGGGAGGTGGGTGGGCAGGAGGGTGCTGGCAAAGCTCTTCATTTCCTCTCGGAGCTCCAGCCCCGGCTGCAGCCTGACTGTGCAGTCCGGAGGGGCCCCGGCTTCTCGAGCTCAGTGCGGCTCTGCTGGTGGTTTTAAAAGCTCAGTACGAATGACAGAGTGACAAGCAGAGGGACTCACTCATCTGCACCCCCTCCCCTGCTGTGTGTGCCCTTCCCAGGTGGCCAAGCTGCCCTTCGTGATCAATGACGGCAAGTGGCACCACATCTGTGTCACTTGGACCACCCGGGATGGGGTCTGGGAAGCCTACCAGGATGGCACCCAGGGCGGCAGCGGCGAGAACCTGGCGCCCTATCACCCCATCAAGCCGCAGGGCGTGTTGGTGCTGGGCCAGGAGCAGGTACTGGCAGGGGCTGCGGAGCAGGGAGGAGAGATCCGGGGGCCCGGAGGGAAGGGAGCGAGCTGAGGTGGCCAGGGCTGCCCTCTGAGGTGGACGGAGAGCCTTAGTCCCTACAGTAGCTGGGGCAGCCCCACATGCTGGACGGGCTCCCTGGGAGGGCAGTGGAGCCAGCATGGGGTCAGCGCTCCCGGTTTGTACACAGGCTCTGGCTCCAGCACCAAAAGGCCCGTCCTGCTGCCAGATGGAAAATTTCTCTCCTGTGGAGTGGTTTGCCTCCCGTAGGGCACCCCAGAGAGACATGCAGGGGCTGGCAGTCCTAGGCCAGCCCCGCGGGCAGCTGGATCCGGGCAGAAGGTGACTTCTGAGCCCTGTGATGGAAACAGGGAGAGGACAGGGCACAGTCAGGCCCCGGACACTGCTCTCAGGGTGTCTCCTGGCTCCTGGAGTGTCTTGGCCCCAGCTGACTCCACCTTCGGTAGCTGGGAAATGGAAGCAGGCGAGGCCCTGGGGAAAGGTCCATCTCCAGAGCAGAGGGGCTGGTACCTGTCCTTGAACCAGAGATGAGGGTCAACAGGGGACACAAAGGACCTGAAAGCCCTTTATCAAAGACACTGGGAACACTCAGTTCCCAGGCAGACAGTTCAGTACAGATAGTACAGATGCCCTAAGAAAGGGATGCCCTGTCACTCCATCCATGCCCTTGTCCTCTGCTTTTCTCCAAAGGACACCCTCGGTGGTGGGTTCGATGCCACCCAAGCATTTGTGGGCGAGCTGGCCCATTTCAACATTTGGGACCGTAAGCTGACCCCAGGGGAGGTGTACAACCTGGCCACCTGCAGTGCCAAGGCCCTTTCGGGCAACGTCATCGCATGGTCCGAGTCACACATTGACATCTTCGGGGGAGCTACCAAGTGGACATTCGAGGCCTGTCGTCAGATCAACTGAGGGCCCTGGGCCAGGGCTGAGCCCCCGGCCTTGGTCCCCAGCCCCATGCCCACCTCCCCTGCTTGTGCACCGAGACTCGTCATCTCCTGTCCCCCCAGGAATGAACCAAGGCTGTCACCCCTGCACACACACACGCACACACACACACCCCCAGTCCTGGCTGCTGACTGACCCCAAGGAAAGCGCACCTCTTCACGGACTTCCCAGACTGGTCACGGGCGTCCCCTGTTCCTGGGTGAAGCAGGCATCCTGGCATTAGCCATAGGTGAGAGGGTGCGTGTGTGTGTGTGTGTGGGGGGGTGAGCAAGTGGAGGAGCCCGTGTGTGTGTGTGTGTGTGTGTGTGTGTGTGTGGTGAGCGAGGGGAGGAGCCCTCGTCTTTCAGTCAGGCCTGGGAACCGGCAGAGGTCGGGCTGTGTGTCTGCCGTCTCTGCGCGGCTGGGCCCGCGGTGGTGCAGTTTGCTTAGGCGCATGCATTTGTCTCCGTCGGCAGGCGTTCTGAGGACATGGTCTCTGTACTGATAGGATAAACGTCTCCTAGTGGCCTGTTAAGGGTGGCAACCTCCACGGAGAGCTTTCACTGTGCCCACTGCACCCCTGTCCTTGGCGTTCAAGGGCCACCCAGGGGCTGGGGAGCCACTGCCCACCCTGCCCTGCCCACTGTGTCCCCACGGCATCCTGCTCCCTGGCCTCCCTCCTCCTCGAGCCCCACCAGGCAGGATCATCTCTCCTATTTAATCACTGGGTTGGCTGCCTTGGCCCAGGTGCCCCTGCAGTGTCTCCACCGCAGCCCCAGGCAGCCCTGGCACCAGACGCCCTTCCCCTTGACCGCTGGCTGTGGGCTTTCTCCAGAGGGGACCTTTCAGACAAGAAGCCCTACACTCTGATTCAGACCCAGCCATGCTGTCATCGGATGTAAACCCAGCCAGCCGTGGGGAATTCTTCCCCATGGTAATTCTGACAGCCATATTCCTCCGGCTCACTGGCCCAGGTTAACCACTGGGGCTCCAGCACTCTCCCAGAGCCTCCCTATCACTCCCCCGTCTCCCAGAGCCCCCATCCCTCACTCTCACTGGCTGGCGACACAGGGCCCTGGCCAGTGTCCAGAGCCTCTACCACCTCCTTCCTGAAAAGCAGCCATGGATGCTTCCTTCTGGTCCTCAGGTGGGGACGGGGGGATGCGTGTGTGCTGAGGGGGGCAGCGTGCGCCCTGGCTCCCCTTCACCGCCTGGGGGGCCCCGTGTCCTGTGGGCACCCCAGACTCTGCCACCAGCCGTCTAGCTGACGGCTGGCAAGTCTTTCTAGAAATGCTGCAGCTGCAGACATTTCTCCAGAGAAGCAGGTGTTCCCTGTCTTCTGTTCCCCTTGCGGGGGCACCTGTCTCCCGAATCACAGGTCCGTTTTGCCTCGGAAACCAGTGCGTCTGTGTGTGTCTGTGTCCCTGTGGTGTGTGCACGGTCCCCAGTCTCTGTTCCGCAGCCCAGCGCCCCCCTCCCGGGCCGGAGTGGGCACAGCAAGTGTCGTTCAGTGGCTTCTTCAATCACGTGCTTGGCCGGGCCCTCCTCAGTCGGCAGGGGTCTTCCTGTTTGCATGTTCCTTGGGGTAGCGTGTCCCTTGCTCCTCTGGTCCGACGTGTGTCCCCTGCCCGCATGGACTTCCACAGATCTGTGTTGTGTGTGCCGAGTGCCATCCGTGTCATGTGACCATCCGTGTAACTGTCCACCATGGGTAACCAAGCCCAGGGTAATGGAGGAGGTCAGGAGGTGGACCAAGTCCCCTCTCCCCTCCCTGCGTCCCAAACACACCCAGTATTCTGAACATGTAGGTTGAGAACAAGCCTGAACACTGCCCGCAGTTGGGAGAGAGCGAGAGCTAGGAGTCGCCCCTAGACCAGAAGGGTCCCCCCTCACTTCAGCCATCTCGGAGCTGTTGTGGAGGCGCAGCTGTAGGTGCTTGCCCTCCAGCACCTCCTCCCGGCCCCCCGCCCTGTCTACAGGCCCGTCCGCCTTCAGGGTGTGAAGGGAGCTGTCCGTTCAGGACCAGAAGCCATCCTCTGCTCTAGTAGTGAAGGGCAGAGCCAACCCCAGTGCTCACTCCTCTGTCCTTCAGCCTCCCCTGGCCCCTCCCGCGATGCACCCTCGGTGCCTGGGACAGAAGCTGACATTTAGCCCCCTCCCCACTCCTAACTGGAGTCTGTGCCAAGCTCCTCAGCCCGTCACTGTGTTAGCGCTTGGCACTTGGCTGGCCCTGAGAAAGGCAGATGACACAGCCACAAATCTAATCCACGTAGGCCCCTCTCCTCCTTAATCCGGTTGATGCTCCCTCTTGCACTGAATCATCCACGCCTCTCTCAGGTAATGCCGTTTTATAAAATAAGAAGCTCAAAAGCACTGTGGAGACAGTGTTCGTTTGCCTCGCTGGTGTCAGACAGCTCCTGGGGCCAGAGCTCTCTGCGCCCTGGGACTTAGACCCCACTGGAATCTTAAGCCTTCTTGCTTTTGATAACACAGTATTATTTCTCTTACTGTAGAAGAAAAAGTTTATTACCAAACAAGAGTATTTTTATGAAAGAAAAGGACAAATCTATAAATTAACTCAACCTATATTTCCCTTGAGAACACTTTCAGACCCCGCCAAAACGTAGGACTGGAAGGATGTATTTTGGAAGGAAGAGACATTTTGTACACTTTCTTTCCCTTTTGTAGACTCCCACTTTATTTCTAAGACTGCGACAATTACTTTGTCACCAGCCCTGGGACCTGAGACTAAGGGGTGTCTGTGGACAGTGAGGGGAAAGGGGGAGGCTGGCAGGAGGGTGGCCATCATTCCAGTACACTCCAAAGAGGGGCCACATGTCTGTAGTGACATGCCCGGGCCAGGCTGTGACTGCAGCAATGGCCAGTGGACACTGAGTCCTGGCGCTGACCTAGGCTGAGTGAAGTGAGTCGAGTGTTTCGAGCGTTCCTTCCAACCCTGATGGAAGTTAGGGCTGCACATTGTTAAAAAGTGACTCGGATCCTTTGCCATCTGTGACAAACCAGAAACCCCAAACCCCACATACGTGGCTTCAAACACAGCGTGTGAATTTATCCAACGGTGACAGGCAATGTGTTCCTTGCGTGCTGGGTTTACGTGCTGCTTGTTGAAGGGGAAAGGAAAAAACAAAAGTCCAACACTTAGAGCCCCAACTTTGTCTTATTTGCCAAAAAAAAGCACCCCCCCCCCGGTCGGTGACGCTGCTCCTTGTACATACTGAACAGTGTGAAGAGTGTTGACGTAGCTTGCTGCTTCTTTGCTGACCAAAGCTGGGCGTTTTTCATAAGATCTGCAGCCATTTGGGTCTCAACTGGGTCCAAGTCAAGGGACCTGCCACCCCCATCGGCGACTCTGGAAATGCACTATTTCTACTGATATTCTTGCTTTCTCTCTTTTCCTTTTTCATTTTCTTGCTGAAACAACATGAATTGTTGAGTTTATTTTTACACAGTAAAGAGTGAAGAACGACGGGGGTCTCAGAGCTTGTGTCCTTTCTACACCTGGCTCGCCTTCCCTATTTGTGGGGTCTGTGTGGCCTTCACCTGCGGCGGGTACACACCCTGCATTAGGATTGCACTGGGCCCCATGGCGTGGGGAACCCTGGCAGGCTAGTGTGCCCATTTCACAGATGCAGCCGGCTTCCTTGAGGCAGGAAAAGGTGAGGTAGTGTCCCCAACGTACCCCAGTGTACTGGAGTACAGAGGCCAGCTGTTACCTCACCTGTAACTAGCTCCCCCCTTGGTGGACGCCCAGCCACAGCACAGCCAGCCACCCATTCCTGATGGCCTGTGTTTTCAGTTCTTGTTTCCAGCTCGTCCCCATAAAGAGGCCTTTCCCATCTGGCTCCTTCCTGTATCCAAGTACAAGGAGATCCCAGACCCACAAAGCCATCAGAATGATGGGGGGGATCCTAGGAGTTGGGAAAAGTTCACTTCCTTGACTTCACACAGACAGACTGTTCCCTGCTAAGGACAAGGTGATCAGGCTGAGTGCTCCGACAGGTGACTAGACACTTGCAGCCCGAGGTCGTGGATCACAGAGCCTAGACTGCACACTTGCATTGTGGGGTCTTCTGCTCACATGGGCATAAGTGCGAGCAGACATCTCACACAGACGCACTCGGGTGCTGGCTGGCAGAAGGGCCTGGGCACTCCAGCCTCACGTTGACACTGTCAGTGCTGATAGCGTGGACATTCCTGCTCTCGACCCTGCTTGGAGTCTGGGTTTGAGCAAGCCACCTGCTGCCTTAGGTGGTGGAGGGAGGTTTGGCCTCCTAAGAAGGAAGGAAGGGAGGAAAGGAAGTAGGGGAGGGAAGGAAGAGGTAGGGGAAGGAAGGGAAGGGGGAGGAAGGGAAGGGAGTGCCCTCCTGTTGCAGGAGGAGCTTCAGCGAGGAGAGAGGCCCGAGGCTGGGAGCCCCAGGATTTGCAGGCAGCAGGGTACCCCTCAAGGCTGAGGCTCTGGGCCAGATCCTATATTAAGACTGATTCCCACTCTCCAAGGGACACCACCCCTGACTCCAGCTCACAAGGCTTATTCTTATCACCAATCACATTTCTAATTTCTGTGTCATAATGCGTTCAAAAACGTGGGCACTGAACTGTTATTAGAAATAGATTACTTTCCACACTTCTCACTCCCATCAGGGCAAATTGGTATATGGCTCTGGGGTTCTGTCGAGCTGCCAACAGCAGCAATTCAGGATTTGCAGGGGAGTCTGGGCTGGGGACATAGGCTAGGGTTTCAAAGCTGAGGCTGGTTTGGAAGGCAGTTCCTCCAATAGCCCATCTGACCCATGATGCTGTTGTTGGTTTGGATGCTCCTGGTGATGGGGAACTCACACCGATGACGAAGGCTGACAGATTGTACAGGACGCTCGGTTCCTTGTGCTGACTTGAGTCCTCCACCTGCCTTGGGTGGGCCTCTGTGTCACCAGGACAGGTCCCCAGGCAGCTGCACCAGTTTGCGCTGTGTGTGTGACTGCTTGAACAATGTGTGGGTGAGTCCAGCTCTGGCCTCTGGGGAGAGGAGCCAGCTCCACAATCTTCAGAAGGGCCATCCAGTCTGATGCCCCACAGGGGGCTGGGCAGCTTGTTCCTAGCCAGCATCA